TCGGGGGAGGGTCCTGATTTTCTGTGCTCACTCTTTTTTCCAAATCCTTTTTTCAGCTGGCCCAAAGTTATTCAACAAACTAAAGGTACCAAACACAACTTTCAAAAAGTCTCCACTTCTGCTCCCTTCCCCCACCACATCAGAGGTCGTTTGATAAAGCTAATGGCTCCTGGGCACTTCCAGAAAGATAAATCAAAAAAGGTCTCTCTAATCGCCCCCACTTGCCCCCAGGAGGATCAGAAGAGAATGAAACCTGGTACAAGGTAGGTGTTTAGGGAATAATGACCGTCAGAATTTGAATTCGGGTCTGGAGTTCATATCCACACCTACTGTACACCCTGATCTAGAGTCCACATCTATAAAGCCCAGTGAATTGGGTAGGACCTCACGGGCGAATATGGGAATGATCCAGAGGACACCCCCACAACTTCAGATCCCTGTACAACTGCGACTGATCGCGAGGCACACTGTTAGAACCAGAGGACGCAAGCCAAAGACTCTCCAGAACTAGTTCAGGGACAAAGGGAGGGGCTAGAATATTCTCAGCATAGCTTTTCCCATTCGTGTATCTGAGATAGGGCAGACCCAGGAGGTAAAGTGGATGGTAAGGGAGGGATGGAGGAAGAGGAATTGAGGGGAAGGGCGAGACAGAGACCCAAGTACTTTTTGGCTGATTGGTTGGTGGGGGGCATGTGACCCTGCTTAGCCCATTTCTGATTGGTTGTTTGACCTTTTCCAGGGTTAAAGACCTAGGAACAAAATTAAAAGCTTCCCGGGTTGACTGGGGCACCTTGGCACTTGATTGATCGCCCATCTCCCGCTCCAGGAAGACCCCAAAATCGAGTGCGGGGTGGGCGGGGTGGAAAACCAAGAGTCTCTGGCCCAATTTATATTTTCTTTCTTCCATTTATGTATTTGTCCTACAAAACAGTAAAAAACTGGCCCAGACATTATTTGAGAGGAAGGACGATCTATTATTACTGAGGCAGGAAGAGGGGGTGATATTTAAATGGAACTTTTGAGCCTAAGAAACAGAAAAGGAGATGAGGAAGTCATAGAACCCCCCAAGAGACGCTGTGTAAATCTGTAAAACAGAAACACACACCCCTCTCCACGGGACTGCGCTTTGGCCAGGAGTACGGGAAGGCCGAGTTTGCCTGGGTGTGGGATGGCTAAATTCTTGGTTGAAGACCATTAGACTCGCTCCCTAAAGCCCTGGGGAGCCGGCGGGAGGGGAAGAGTCAAGTTAGAGAGCAAGGAAAACTCCCATCTCCCTGAGGCTTGAATGGAAAGTTTCCAGAAACCCCCCAAATCACAGACTGATGGGGAGGAGAGAATGGAGAGGGCTGATTATGAGAAAGGGAGAAACTGAGAGTTAACTTTTGGAATGGGCTCCTGGGGAGATCCTCTAGGATCCTCACGCTTCCCGGGAAATAAAGGAGTGGGGAGGCCCAGTGTTGGTGCGGAACAGGGGTCCCCAGAGGGATGGCATCGGGGAGTTTCCCGCCCCGCCCCCCCCCAGCCGGCCCCGCCCGGGTCCCGCGCCAGCGCTCCTCACGAAGGCGAGAGCTGGGCTTGGAGATCGGCTCAGGCGCCCGTGTCTCTGGGTCTCGGTTCCCCTTCACCCTCCCAGAGTCGGCCTGGGCTCTCCGTCTCTGCCTGAGTCCTGCTTCTTCCTCAGGCCCCTTGGGCGGCAGGGGCACACTAACCGCGTCCTACCCCCCGTCCCCCAACAGCACTTCTCCACAGAAGGGCGCCCAGACCCCCTCGCGCCCCAGGGCAGTCCTCCCTTCTCCCTTCTGGGAAGGCGCAGACCTGGCTCGCCCCCGCCGCTCTCCTCCCCTTTCCCTTGGCCTGGACCAGTCGCTCTCCATGGGCCTGCCTTCCGCCCTGATTCGCAATCCCGCCAGATTCAGTTCATTCCGTCGGCCCCTTCAAGGAGGCTGAGTTTCTACATCGTCGCTGTCCTGGCTTAGCTCTGGGTGGTGCATGGGGAGGGGGGTGCCTTGCAGGTGTGGAGGACACGTGCCTCCCGTGCCTGATGCTGGGCTGCTCCTTCCTAGAAACCTTTAGGGAGGCCGAGCTTGAGACTGGCTGAAGAACTCCATGCCCATATTGGGCCCTGATGGCTCCACCACCACCCCCAGGCCACTCTCTCCCCAGAGCTGGGGGGGGGGGGCTTTCCTGGTCAGCCTAGTAAAGACATTGCCTCCACTCTCCCACCCATTTATACTCCACTCACAGGGGGAACCTCTGGGCCTCTGGGGCCTACTTTTACCTCAGGCAAAGGGCTTGAGAATGCCAGGAAAGACCCCAACAGCTAGAGGGAGGCATGAAACCACACTGGCCCCAGGCGGACTAAGACCCCAGACTACAGACGCTGGGACAGCTGCCCACCAGGCCTGGTGGTGAGGAAAGAGAAAATGCTTTGGGACTCTCTGGGCTCAACCAGCTACCTTTAAGATGCTTCTTTCTGCCATTTCAGGTCGCAGCCTGGGGGCTCAGAAGTCCCAAAGCCTTCCTTCCTGGCCTCCCTCTGCAGCTGCCTGGACTCTGAGCCACTGGCCCAAGGGCTGAACTGGCCCCTCCCTAGGCTGGGGGTGCCCCAGAGGCACTTTGCGCTTGCGCCTACAGTTTGCACACTCTTACAAAACACCAAACACCCATGGGTCTGCCGCAGTCTTTCTTCCTAACTGAGGAGGGAGAGGGGGTCAGGGAGACCTGGCAAAGCTCTAAAGAACCCAGGCCTCTCTTTACCGCAGTTGACTTGCAGCTGGAGGGAATAAAGGGCAGGGAAGGGAGGGCTGGTCAGAGGGGACAAGCTCCCCCATCCTCCTACCTCCCAGCGGCTTCTACTCTTCTTCTTCCACCCTAGCCTGGGAATGCCCAGGGAGGCCTTCTTCCCCTCCCCTTAATGAGTGGGAACAGCCTTCTATCATGGGGCAGGGGGATTAGGTAAACGGGAGAAAGGGTCAGAGAGAGAGAGAAAATTAACTTACAGCGTTCGCCTGGGATTCATTTGCGAAGATGTAACCCCTCACCATCATCCCCAGCGCCGTAATCCCCTCTAACTGCCAGGCCCTCTGTCCTAGCATTAAACCTCACCAGCAGCTGCGTGGCTGGACAGTTAAGATTATATATGATGTAAATATATTGTGGGTTTGTCAGCTCTCCCTACACCATAAAACTTGGTTTAATGACATCACGTGGTCCCCCAAGAGCCACTCACGGGCTTGCCTTCGGGCCATTCACATAAATAACCTCCAAAAGTTTCAAACTCCTAAATTCACATAGAAGCCATGCGTATTTCTCTAATGCTCAGTCACACTAAAAAGCCCTTGTGCTGCTCCTTTGCCCCACCCCCACACCCCCCTTGCAGGGTGGGGAGGGGGAGAGGGTGGATCCTTATTTATTTATTTACTTACTTATTTCCATAAGGACCTGTCGCCTTCGAGGTCGTGTTGATATTTTTTCCTCCTATTTTTTTTCCTCCTCTCTCCTCTAATTGCTCAGAGTGGGTCGTGTCCCCCTCTTCCCACTCCCCCGGGAAGGTAAGTCATGCTTCTTCCCCTTTTTTTTTCTGGCTGCCAGAGGGGGTGGGCTTCAGGGCAAAGTGGGGAAGCAGGCTCCATGGTCTCTGCTGGGGACCCAGGAGCCCCTCCACTAACTTTCCCAGAGCAAAGCCAAATCCTGGTGCTTGGAGATTGTTCCAGGAGGCTGGCTGGTGGGAGAACCCCCTCCCGCCCCCCTCTCCCCCCCCACCCCGGCTTCAAAGCAGAATCCTCCGCTCAGGGAGAAAGCAAGGGTGTGGGGTGTACCTAGCCCCAGCGTCGGGGAGTGCGCCCGAGGCCTTTGGGTAGGTTGCGGCCGCTGAGGCCGGGGAAGCAGAGGCTGCGGCCTGGGGCAGGCCTGCAGACTGACAGGAGGGGCGGGGGCAGGCAGGCGAGGCTGCGTCTACCCAAGCCTGGCCAACTTGAGTCAATCCTCCAGCTCCTCCAGGGAAAGAGGCCTTAACACTGCAGGAAGGAGGCGTTCCATGCCAGGTGGGGCTGGTGTGCCCTGCAGTGCCGGTATGAGCAATTTTGCCCCGGGCCCCGGCCAAGCCCTTGGTTCTACCCCTGGGGCGGTGCGTCCCCTGGGGAGGAGGCTCCGGGCCTCGGCAGCCAAGGATGCTGGAGTGCGTGATGGCGGGCGCCACGGCCTCTTTCTTAGTTAACTGTTACCCACTGGAGACGCCAGTGCTTCTCCACGCTTCACCGCTTGCCCAATAGTTTTACTCAGCATGGAGAAAAAATTAAAATAACTCCCTGAAGAAAATTACACATTTTATTTGAGAGAGAGAGATTGAGAGGGGAGCCGAGGTGCTGCTAGGTTGGGCAGACTGCTGATTGCTAGTCAGGGAGAGACGCAGCGAGTGCCCTAACCTGGCCTGAGTGCCGTTGGAAGGGAAGGGTGTAGCAATGGGCACAGATCAATAAACATTTGTTGAGACCTCCTACGTGCTAAGCACGGGGTGAGGAAAGACTCCTGGGTTTAAAAAAAAAAAAAATGACAGATGGATAGCTTAGGCAGTGGGATGCAGAGAAGTCAGTCCTTATAATAAATCCAAGGAGCATCAGCATTAATAATCATAAATATTCCCCTTGCCCCTCCCCAGAGTCTCTCTGCTCCCTTTCCCTCTCAGCTGTAAGAGCAGCCTTCTAGCCCAGCTCCTGAACCGCACCCTCCCCCAGTGTGGGGGGCCTAGGCTTGGCTCCAGGAAATCACCCCCATTGTGGGAGGCGAGAGAGGAAATGCAGTAAAGTTTTATGGACCCTTCCCACATTTGTTTCTCCTATAAAGTACTTCCTCCCCCATCCCATCCCAGGAGCCTGGAGCAGAGCAGAGCGTGGGCCTCAGCCAGCCTTGGCACCACCTGAATTATCTGCCTTTTCCCCTTTCCCTTTAGCCCACCCTCCCCCTCCACACAAAATCCCAGAGACTGAGACAAATGATGGCAAACAGACAGGACTCAGGCACCCGTCTATGCAGCTCCTTTCCCAGCTAATTGTCCTGCATAGCCTCAGGCCCTAGAAGTGGGGGAAACAGTCTGCGCATTTCTTGCCAGGCAGGTACGCTGTAGGCTGCCCTCCTTGCTCCCATCTGCCCCAGGATCTTAAAAAGCTGAGACACACTTCCTCCAACTCCCCCAGACCCCTTTATCAAGCAGTACCAACTCTTTCTGAGGATCCTTCTTGGGACCAAGTGGGCTTCTAGGCTGAGGGCTCAGCCCTCCCTCTATGTCCAGCACGGCCCCTCACCGAGCTCTGGGAGAGATCTTCAGAGTCCGGGGCCGGGGCGGAGAGTATGAGCGCCACGGAGCCCCCAGGCCCTGCAGATTAGCTCTGGCATGCAGTGGGGGCTGCTTGCCAGTCTAGAGGCCTCAGATCCACCCAGCCAAGGTGGGAATGGGGTGCAGAGGCCTGAAAGCCTTGGAGAGCCACAGCATGGGAAAAGCCAGTACAGACTGCGTAGGTGCCCTCCCCTTTCCCCAAAGGCCCATCTGGGAACCAGGGATCTGGAAAGGAGCTCAATTTCACCTCCCTCTTCTCAATCCCTCTAGAAGCTCCTAAAAATTCTTTTTAAAAAGAGGCTGAGAGGCTATGGGCCTCCCCTATACTCCATAGCCCATTTAGACACTTTTACCCAATACATGCCCCAAACAGAGAGGCACCGCTGCATCTTTAGTCCTGATCTCTCTTTGTCTTTATTTGATATGACAAAATATAGTTTCAGGAAAGACCTGGAGTCAATAAATAGTTGGACAACAGCGATGGGGCAGGAGGGCACAGAGAGTCGTGGCAGGGACTAGTGGGCAGCCAGGAACCTCTAGGACTGCTTGCTGGGGTCCAGTGGCAGGGAACCCCCATGGTTGAGCTAGCTAGTGGTCTGAGGCGGAGGGGCCTGAGAGGGCATGCAGAGGGCGCAGGCTGGAGAGGTTACCGGGCTTAGGGATGGGTGAGAAGGTTTGGAGAGCCTAGGGCAACCAAGGGGGCCCTAGGCAGACCTTCAGTCATCTCCCCCTTTCATATGCAAATCATAAAAAAACCGAACATGGAGTTTAGTCGCTACAACGAAGCACCCCGAGTCTGGCGCCGGACTCCCCCAAGCATAGCCACTCTCACCAGCCCTCAGCCGCCTGGCCAGCCTAAGCCGGGAACAAAGGACAGGGGAGGCCGGAGGGTCGGGGCGTGGGGCCTGGAGCCCCTGCCGGGCCCACCTTAATTCCCGCAGGCCGCTCTGGGGCTGGGAGCCTGAGAGGCGGCCCAGGCCCGGTTCGTTCAGCACCAGCCCGTCTGCCGCAGCCCTCTGGGGAGCCCCTGCGGAGCTTGCCCTGGCGCCCCCCTCCCCCCCCACCCCGCCGGTGCTGAGCAGAACTGAGGGGAGTCCGCACCGCGCGGACAGCCCCGCAGGAACCTGGGGTCGGTGGGGATGCGGAGTGCCAAGGGAACGCGCTTTTGTCGGTGAGGCCCCGAGCGGGTGCTGCAGCCCCCGCCCTTGCCCCAAAATATAGAGAGAGGACAACCGAAAAGGAAAGGCGCGGGGACCAAAGCGGGCTTGGGGCGCTATCTGCGGGCCTCCCTGCTGCCTCTAAAGAGCCTCTTTGCTTTTCATTTTGGAATCTTTCTTCCACTTCATCCTGCGGTTCTGGAACCAGATCTTGATCTGTCTCTCGTTGAGACACAAGTTGTTGGCGATCTCTATGCGCCTGCGGCGAGTGAGGTAGCGATTAAAGTGGAATTCTTTTTCCAGTTCCAGGGTCTGGTAGCGCGTGTAACTGGTTCGGGACCGCTTGCCGTCCGTCTCTGGAATATAAAGCCCCCCAAGCCAGGAAGGGGTGAATAGCGTGCAGCGCCCCAGCGTCCCGACCCCAGCCCAGGCCCCCACCCGCCGCCGGAGGGAGAGGAGGCGAGCAGGGCAGGACAGGCCCAGCGGGCCGCAGGCGGGCGCGGCCCGGCCCAGCCCAGCCTAGCCCAGCCTAGCCCCCGGAGAGGCGCCTCTGCCCTGGCAGGAAACTTTCCGCCGCAGCCTTCACTCAGCAGCCGGAGGGGCCGAGGGGGTGGGGGGGAGAGGGAGACCCAGGCTCGGACCGAACAATAAGCACCCTCGAGATCCGAGCACCGGGGACCCCCCTCCCGCCCCTCCCGAGTCGCTGGAATCCTCCGGAGCGGCCAGCGCCGGCCGAGCCGGCTCCACGGGGGAGGGAGGGAGGGAGCCGCGGGGGGATCCCCGCTCTGGAGCCCCGCGCTCCTCACCCTTCAGATCCCTCTATTTTTTTAACTCCCTCCCTCTCCCCCAAAAATTGAATATTGCCTTTTATACACGTTTTGTTCCTATGATCCAATTATGTCGTCGTAAATTTGGGCGCACACAGCCTCTAAGCCTTTTAGTGGACAGTTTTACGAGCCATTGATGCCTGGATCGTAAAATTTATGGCCGCAGGTTTTTTTTCTTTATTTGCCCCGCATGGCCTATAAAACCCAGGCGGACCCGAGCGCGCAAAATGAAGTCCTAAAGTTTACCGTGGCTCATGTGCAGTTTGGTCATCCACGGGTAAATCTGTGGCGGGGCCGGTGGCTGGCTCAGTCCGGCGGGCTGCCCTGTCTGCGCCTGCTCCTCTTTGATCTCCCCACTGCTCTTAGCTCGCTCCTCCAGCGCTGGGCGAGCCGCCTTCTGACTGTACATCCCGGGGTTCAGAGGAGCCGCTTCATCTCTGCCCAGAGCGTGTCCCGGAGCGGCCGCGGCGCTGCAGGCGGGGCGGTCGGGGTGAGCCCGGGGGTTGGCAGCCATGTCTACCCCGTGGAGAGAGTTGGAAGGCGCAGGCGGTGGGAAAGTGATGCTTAAGTCCAATCCACCGTAGCAGTACCTGGATGCCTGCACCTCTGAGGCCGATCCATAGTTCCCACAAGTTTGCATGTTATAGGCAGGGATATTGGGGCTCTGCTTATAGAATGAATTGGCTACGTAGGAGCTCATGGCGGGGAGGGCCCAAAAAAAAATTTCTGCACCCTTTTTGATTAAGGGTGATTTGTGACTCTTTGAAGTTGAGGGGTTTTTTGTTCTCCAAAGTGCACAATTTATAGGTGGAGATATCTCTTTCTTTATCCTATGCGCTCTTCCCAAATAAGGGAGCCTTAAATAGAGTCACGTGACTCAAGCGGCCACTCATAAATTTGGCTTGATGACCTCCGGGAGGTTAGTGATGGAAGCCGGCGAAACGCATCTTGATATGTTGGCAAAGCCCAACCAAGGGGGAGAGGGAGTGAGAGAGAAAGAGAGAGAGAAGGGGGAGGAAAAAAAAAATGGTTCTTGAAATTGGGGGGTAGCCGGGACAACGAGCCCACAGCGACACCTGGTGCCTACTTGGAGGAATTGCAGCCTGGCTTGTCGGCCCGCCTTCAGACCGCTGGATTCTCTACCCTGTAGAGAAGCTGGTTGTTGCTGCAACAAACCCTTGGAATGGCCTTTTAAACTGTATTTAATTTTAAGGAAAGATGAGGTCTTGTTTAGGATACAAAAACTAACGGATAGCCTTGCCTCCCCACCCCCAGAGCCTTTCAATCTTCAAAAATGGCTGAGGAAAGGAGATTTAGGTAGGGGGGCCCCTGGCCAAGTTGGAGATCCCAAGGGATTTCCCTCAGGTTCTCTAAACCAAGCTTCAAGGTCCCTCTCCTTGGAGGCCCCAAGGCCCTGCTACTGCTGAGGAGGTGACTGTCAGGTTGGGGAAGTGAACCCAACCCCTGGAGAGGTGGACAGGATGCTCAGAGGAAGAGGGGTCCTGGGTGGACAGAACTAGACAGGGGGGGAGGGTCAGGAAGCTGAAAGTGCTGGAAACTCTGGGATGAGCCTGGAGGTGAGGATGGAGGGGGGGGAGTTGAGTAGACCTCACCATGCTGGGATCCCAGAGTGGCAACTAGGCAATTGTGTGTGTGTGTGTGTGTGTGTGTGTGTGTGTGTGTGTAGAACCAGACACAATGGGCTTGGAGGACTGCTCTGCATCCCTGTGTATTCTATGCCAGATATTTGGGATAGAAAATAGATGTTAATTGAGGGCATGGAGAAGCAAGATTGAAGCCTCCACAAATATTATATGAGCAGGGCAGAGGAAAAGGCCTGTTTTGTGCCCTTTTTGGAAAAGGCCTCTGGAACAGGTTTTCAGGGACCTAGATACAGAAGGTCCGCAGGAGAGCACTTTCTGAGCTATTTGGAGGCGTGGAAAGGACCTGGCTGGGGGTGGAGGATGGAGGAGGTGGGCAGGGCAGGCGCCTGGGCAACCTTCACAGCCTGCGGCCAGGGGCTCCGCAGCCATTTGGCCCCTTTCCGAGCCCCCTCCCCTAGCCCCAAGTCTTATTCTTTCCTGCCTGCCTCTCTCCAGGAAATCCCCGCCCCTGCCAGGAGACGCCCCCCTCCAGACCCCCCACGCCCCCCCCCACCCCCGCTGGCGGAGGCGCTGGAGGGGGCGCTGGCGGGGATCTGGAAGGTCTGGAAAACTCTGGCGGATTTTTTCCCTCCGGGAGACCCCCTCACTACCTCACTCCCTAGGTCCACTCAGGTTTCTCTGGCTGGGCTTAAGGAGAGAAGGCCTGAGCTGGGGAAAGTGTTAGGGTCTGGCTGAGCTCCTCACCCGCCGAGTTTGAGAGGCAAAGGAGTAAGGAACCAGACTGCGACTGGGGCTGTAAGGAAGAAGGAATTTTGTCCCAGCCCTGTCAGGAGTCCCAGAGCAGGCTCAGTTTCCAGGCTTTCTTTTTCGAGATGTCCTTGAATCGCTCAATCCCTGCGGAAGGGCTCAAATCCCGCGGTCTTCTCTTTCCCCTCGGCTCTCCGCCTCCGCCACGTTTCGCAACAGTCGGCCTGGCGCTGGCTGGGGGCTGCTCACGCGGCGCCCCCCTCCTCACTCCGGGGAGTGGACGGGGGAGACCCTGGTACCTGAAGAATGCTTCTTTTCTGGCCCTTGGGGGCTCGGGGTTCAGAAGCCGAGGACCCCAGACTACCACAGGCAGGAAGAAAGGCCTGTGTGGGGCTGGAAACCAATCCGAGCAACCCAGGCTTCCCGCCCCCCACCCCCAACGAGATCCTATGCGGCCTTTTTTGCGGGGTGAGTGTGTTGCTCCGCTGGGAAGCCCAGAGAGGCTTCCCAGCCCCCCTAGCGCGTTCACCAGGAGACCGGGGAGGCCCCGGCTCTGCGCCGGGCTCCCGGGAAAGACGAGCGCAGGGGGCTGGGGGCTTGCAGGCGGCGGGCAGACGCGGGAGCGCTCGGAGCCTGCTCCAACTTTCACCCCAGGCCGGCGGACGAGCGAATTAACAGAAATCCCGATATAAACTTTTAAAAATAATATCAGTTTTATTAAATATTCGAGAACGGATCCAGAGGTCGGATTTATACAGGAGGGTAACACGAGGGGGATTTTTTTAATTTATTTTTTTCTCCTACTGGCTAAACAAACGTCATTCACTTTTTTTTCTCTCTTTTTGTAATTTTCCCTCTTTTTTTCCCCCCTTTTAAGATGGGAGTGGAACACGGACGGTGCTAAACATAAATATAAATACAGAGACCACAAATACAGCTAAAAATATTCACACAGAAACGGTCACAGTTTGTAATATGCCATAATGACCCCCAGGATTCTTTAAATACAATTTGCCTGGGCTGGGCATTTGCTGGGGCAGAGGGGCCGGGCAGGGGCTGCGGGGAGGCCCTGGGGGTTGCTGTGGGGCCACGACGCGCCCTCCTTGGGCCTCCCGCTCTCCGCGGCTGCCAGGCCGGACCCTGAGGCCCCGGAGCGGAGGCCCCGGCCCGGGAGCCGGCTCTCTGCGCAGGGGCGGGGGTGGAGGCGCCGAGGGGGTGGGAGGCCAAGTCCTCATTTGGAGGGAGATCTGTGGAGTCTGAAGCGAGGTTCAGGGACGGAGCCCCCAAGGCCTGGGAGGGGGAAGGGGCCTGCAGACGAGCCGAGAACGAGCTAGCGAGGGAGCAAGGAGGAGGAGGCGCGTGGTCAAAGAGAGTTTGTGCGGTGAGGGAGGGGGTCCAGAGTTGACTTTCAGGTCCATATTTGACTCCCTAATTTTGTTTTAGGGAGTCAAAACACATCAGTTGTGCCAGTGATAAATATAGAGTGTGTGATTAGGAGGGAATTGGGGGGGGTAGCAAGGGAGAAGGAGAGAGAGGGGTGGCAGGGACAGTCCTGGTCACTCTTTCTGCTTCTCCTCTTCTGTCTCTTCCCGCTTTTCCTCTTTTCCGCCCAGGCTGTCGGCCGCGGCCCCTCCGCCGCCCCCTGAGAGCGTGGACGTGAGATTAGATTCTTTTTTCCACTTCATCCGGCGGTTCTGGAACCAGATTTTGATCTGTCGCTCGGTCAGGCAGAGCGCGTTGGCGATCTCGATGCGCCGGCGCCGCGTTAGGTAGCGGTTGAAGTGAAATTCCTTCTCCAGTTCCAGGGTCTGGTACCGCGAGTAGATCTGGCGACCGCGCCTCCGGTCCGCTCCATAGCCGACCCCTAGAGATCCGGGCACAAAACACACTAAAAACAATCAGCGAGGCATCCTCCGTAGACGATTTAGCCTAGCAAAGTCCTGACCCTCCCAACTTGGCCAGCAGCTCACGGGCCCCCTCGGACCTCAGCCTTCTCCCTTTTGCCCTGCCCCACCCCCACTGGGGGTACAGCCAGGAGCCCAACTTCATTCAGTCCCCCACCATATGTTGGTAGGTGAGTGTCCCAAAGAAAGGTGGGGGGGGGGGGGCAAGAACCAGGCAGAAAGCTGTAAGTCTAAAAACTGGTTTTTGAAAAATTCCAAACACTGGGGATGAGGGCCCCATTTCTCAACAACTGGGCTCCCCCACCTCCCCAAGCACCCTAGCTCCTTGGAAACTTCTCCCCACTTCTCTGCCCCCTATTCTCCCTCCTCCCTTCTTCTCAGCCTGACTTGACTTTGGGTGGGCTCCCCACCCCCTGCCCCCTCCCCTCATACCCTGCCCTGTTCCTGCCCCCTCAGTTTGCCTTAGAGCCCTCCAATCCGTCAGGGGCCGAGGGGGCCAGGCCCCTGCGAGCAAGCGGGAGGCGAGCAGAGGGGGCAGAAGAGGGGGCCCTGTCTCGGCGTCGGCGAGGAGACGAGCGTGATTGTTTTTATGGGGCCATAAAAAACTCTCTCCGCCCGTTCTTCTAGGGAAGCCGGTCATAAAGCCAGTTCAGTTTATTTAATTTATATCTCGGAGCTGTAAAACTCACCACTGTGCGAATTCATTCGCTGCATCCAGGGGTAAATCTGGATACTGGCTTTCTGGTCCTGGGGCGCAGTCCTGCCCTGCTCAGAACTAAAATCCTGAGCGATTGAGGTCTGTGTGTTATGTCCTAAGGTGTTTTGTCTGCAGTTTGAGAGCATGTCTTTCTCCTGGTAAAAGGAATTAGATCCATAGTCATACGGCCCCCGGCTGGAACTGAACACGACATTCTCCTGTGGCGAATAAAAGGGAGTCGAGTAGATCCGGTTCTGGGCAACGGCTGCTCCATAGGTCGAGAAATGCCTCACTGGATCATAGGCGGTGGAATTGAGGGCGACGTTGGGGAGGACGTCCTGGCCCCCGGCGAGGTGGCAGGATAAGGAAGGGTTAGTGAAGTAGGAATTCATCCCTTTGCCTTTACCTGGTCGGGCTATGATTTCTTTAATATTTATTTCTGTCTCCAGTTTGTACTCGGAACTAGATGGTTATAGGGACGGCTCCAATCCAGGACAGACAAAATGACAAAGTCAGCTGACCCCCTTCCAGCCAATCGCAAGCCAGATGTCAAGAAGGGGGAAAAAAATCGCTTCTGCTTCTGTTGATTCCCTAGTTGAGACTAAGTGTGTGCTTTGAAAGTAAGACTTAGATTTCTTTTAAAAATATATATGTTAGGGAACTGATTTGGAGGTGAAGAAGGGTGAATATGCATTAGCAGGGCCTTGGGGCCCAGGGAAGAAGAGCTGCACTGCTAGGAAATCTCTCAGCCCCTGCTAACTTTGCTGTGCTGTGGCCAGAGCCAGGTCTGGAGAAATCCCTCTATTTTCAATCTGATTTCATCTTTTATATCTCCCCCCCTTCTAAAATTACATCCTGATTTTTCTGTGGGAAGAGCCCCTTCCCAGCTCAGGGGGAATCCCCAGAAATCCTACAGGAAATCCTACTTTGACCCTCCATGGAGTGAGTCCTCATCACTAAACCAGTACTTTTCCCCCCCAAAATTTAAAAAAAAAAAATCAAAAGTAGAAAGAAACTGCATAAAACACAGTGCTCAGAGGAAGGAGAGTGTGGCTGATAGTCTTAGGTGGAAGGGAAATGTAGGGAGCAAGGAGGTCTAAAGGAGTAAGGATGAGACTTCAGGACACAGTGGCAGAGCTGAAGTGGGCAAAGGGGCCATGCATTTGCTTCTTCATCCTCTTAGCCCCCTTCTGCCTCTCAGAACACCCTTTTGGGGGAAACTCTTGCAGCACTTTTGCCTAAAAGGGAAAAATGTATAAAAATACAATGGAAAAGAGAGAGAAAGAAGCAAAAGGTGGGAGAGAGAGAGGAAAAGGAAGAAAGGAAGGCAGAAGAAAGAACTCTGAGGGTCTTTCTAGACACATCAACTCCTGTTTATGTTGGTGAGAATTTATGATTTGGAGCCAACGAGGGCCGCTGGGGTGATTCACACAGGATCCAGGCAGAAAGAGAAGGCTGGGGGGGCTCTGAAGGACAGCGAGCGTCTGCAGGCTCAAGCCCCTGCGCAAGTCAGAAGCCCCCAGGCCCCTCCGGACTCTGCCCCGCCAAGAGAGGCACCCTGGACCTGAGCTCCGGGGCTTGGGAGATTCCAGCAAAGGGCTCCTGGGGAGCTCTCACTCAAGGGCCAGCCACACCTGGCGGAGCCGGGCCTCTCAGCAACCCCTACCCCCATTTTCTCTCCACATTGGGGCTGAGAAAAAGGAAGAGAAGGTTAGGAAAAGGCAGCTGAGTTCCAGGCTTCTGAGGGAGCCGCAGTGGGCAAACTGAAACAGCGGAAGGTGTGCAGATGGAGTTTTTCTCCTGATGAATCCAAACTTAATTTGATATCGTGACATAGGCTGAAAATGCTTTGAGCTGACAAAGAGGGGGTGGTGGGGCTAGCGAAGGGAGCGGTGGAAGCTCATATTTTCTCCTCACCATTTTGAGGGGGGGGCTGACTATAACAAGAACCCGGATGTCTCCGGATTTTATGATCTTTTCCTTCTGTGTAACAAAGCAGAGTAATCAATGGGTAGCAATAAAGCCATAAACGGGACTACGCTGGGAAAAAACTCGTTTATTCATCTTCTGTAACGTTAAGGTTTCCCTGGAGTGTCGCTAGGGGGGAAAAATAAAGTTTCGAACCCAAAAGCAGACAGTGTGTAGGAGCTGGTGGAGACAACATGTTAGCTAATACATGAACCTTGTTAGGGGACTGAAGAGTCTTCCTGCTGGACAATTTGTGTTGGCTTTTAAAAATACAGCCCCAATCCTTCAGAAAGGAGGGAAATTTGTTGGTATTTAAAAGGGTGGGGGAAGACCCCTATCATTGTAAATGTTCCCCCTCTTGGACCATACTTTCTTCTGCTCAAGGAGATAAAAGTGAAAGGGTAGAGGAGGGTTCCAAATTAAGAAAGAAATTTGGAGATGAGTCATCTGGTTAGGGGGTGACATGGCAGGTATATGAACAGAGACACTAGCGTGACTTGCCTTTTGCTCTAGAATCCAGCTGTCCTCCAATTCATGGCATGCCCGGACAGAGGTTTTCAACAGCTGGCTGGGGCTCCAGGCCCCCTGGAGGGCAAGAGGTAGAGCGAGAAAGAACTAGGGGGAGGGGGGGAAGACCCAGGGGGCTGAGCTAAGAAACAAGTCAGCGCACCCCTGGACACAAGTAGCCACTCTCAGAGTTCCCAGCCTCACTTCTGCCCTAAGGGTAGCAGTGTAACACATAGAACAGGCCGGAAGAGAGTAAATTCCCTCCATCCCCCCCCCCCATTTCAGAGAGATTGCTAGAGGGATAAATCATGTCAGTGATATTTCCTTCAAGATATTAAATGCTGCAATGTACAACAAATTGAATGATGGAAGATAGGATGTCTTAATGAGGTTTCACTTTCAACGAGTGTTGATTTTCTATGCATTTTTAGATCTCTTTTGGGGGGGTGGGGAAAGGAAGGATCTTAGGAGAAAGAAGGGGCTTCTGGGGAAGCATGTGCTGCAGCCCCCCAGCAAGGATGCCTGGGTTTCCTTGAGCCCCTCCTAAACAAAGTCTGGAGGGGAAAGGGGCCCCCAAATTGGGGAGAGTCTCCTTTGGGGCCTGAAAGTAGTGGGCGCGGGGGTGGGCGACCTGAGGAGCAGAATGTAAGTCTCAGCCCCGGAAAGTTAAGTGTTTTATTACGTCCCTAAACAGAGGGCAGAGACTGAAAGGTCTCGCCGATTTATAATGAACAGAAACCAGCTGCTGGGGGAAAAAGGCAGAAATGCTGGAAGGGGGAGAGAAGGGGAAGCAGAAATACAAATAAATTCCCCCACTGCTTAAAGATTTTTGGCAAAATTAATTTCCATCATACTCTCCGCCATCACCTTCCATTCCTGAAAAAAAGAAGCCTCCTTCTTTCAGGCAGATCTTTAATTATGCAGCTGAAATTTGCTGGAAGGATTCGCTCCAAGGGGGGAGAGCAGGTCAGATGAGCCCGATCTTCCCTCCATTGGATTATATTTTCCTTTTCTCATTTTATGTTAATTTTATTTTTTTGGCAAAAGAACGAGTGTCTATGGGGGGATAGCTGGGACTTGGGTTTTTCTAAATATATTTATATTTTCCGGTTAAATTTGTCTGAAAACAATTATGGAAACTCATCAGCAGAAGCAAGAACAGATGTTTTATTAAAACTGCAGTTGAGCTCTGTAAATATGCACAAGTCCTGGGAAGGGGGGGACTTGTTCTTTGTTTCTATAAAACAAGCCTAGAGCAATCAGAGAACACCCCCATCAGGCCCGCAGGTCTAGGAGTAGCTCTGCCCCTTGGGCCTCCGGAATCAGGCATTCCGAGGGGGTTTGGCGGCGAGAGCAGATTTTCGCTTTCGGAGCTGTAATTAGTGGATTCGAAAACAGAATTCAAAAAAAAAAAAAAAAAAAAAAAAACCAGAAAAGGAATAAAGGGGGAAAGTTGCTGTTCGCTGCTCCAGTCCCCCCATCTCCCCAGTCCAAAACACATGCTTCTCATGAGCGCTAATTATAGGAGAGGAACTTACTGCAGGCGCCATAGGCCTGCACGGGGCGGGGGGGTGGGGTGGGTGGGTAGTCACTGGCCTGGAGTCCCCAAGGCTAAGGGGTGCTTTGGAGGCTGGGCACTGGAAGGTTTCCCAGAATGAGTCAAGCGCTCCTACCCCAGCCTTAGCCTGCTCCAGGCCAGGGGCTGGGAGCCTGTGTCGCTCTGAACTGGGGAGAGAAGGTGGGTATGACTGGACTCTGGCTGGGAAGGGGTTCGTGGGCAGGCCTCCTCTTGTCTGCCTTTGCTTTCCACTCTGCTCTGGAAAATATATTAATTTCTTGGGGAAGGGTATCTGAAGTGAGAGGGATGAGGTCTGGAATGGTTACTGGGGGACAGTCTTTTCCAGAGGTCCTGGCTAGTTTGTGTTCTGCCAGTCTTCTCTCTTTTCCTAGGTCCCCCAACTCTGCGCAGATGTCTGTGACTCACCCAGCCTTGCACACAGATACACACACTCCATTTCTGGCTGCCGGCGCCACCAGCTACAGCTCGGCGCCTCCGGAGGCTGCTCAAGGACCTGGACACCACAGCCGCAGGACTCAGCGCTCGGCCTGGGCGCTTGGCTGCCTGGAAGCCACTGCAGCTGCCCCACTCACCCCTGCCAATTCTTGATTTTGAGAGCAGGGGAAGGGCGGTGGCTCCACCAGCCCTTTTTGTGCCCCTGGGCAAGGGCTGAAACCCCTCTTGCAGAGAAAGCCCAGTTTCAATAATTGTTCAGCTCACCTTACAACCGCACTGTTTGGTTAGGGCTTTGCTGTTCTAGAGCGATTGCTCAGTTGGCCCGACTGGCTTATGATCAGAATTTTTTAACTTAAAAATTAAAAAATAAATCCTACCCCAAATGCCCAGTGTTTTGTGTAGGAGTTCCTTTGATCTCCATAGAATCCGGAGTAAAAGGATTGCAAAGAGAGTCTCCAAATCCGCCAGAGAACCTGAATGCGGGGAACTGGGTCTGCTTGGGGACACCAAAGCATAGCTCACCCAAGGAGCCTCCAGTTTCTCATAGATACGGTGGGGGAAGTAGTCTGAGCACATACCTCCCCATATGCACATTGCATTCCAAAACAGAATGTTCCTCCTCCTTTCAAAGTTCAGGCATGGAGACACTTGGAGAAGGTGAAATGTAACACATCCAACCCGGAAATGGATCCCATTTGGGGGTGCTTATATTCTAGGGACAGGGCCCAGGCTGGCCAGCTAAATGGAGTTGGGGGTCGGGGAGGGGGAAGGAGGACAAGGCCAGATGGGGTATGTCAAACGCCTGAGAACTGCCCCAAACACCTCTGAGGCCTGGGCTGGCAAATTCTCGTTTGACCTAAGACGTTTGAGAGGCTGCCCAAGCTGCGTTTGCTTTATTTGCAATTATAGAAGAAAGGTACATGGGGAGGCTCTGCTAACTCCCGTCACATTTTCTCTCCTCCTTCTCTCTTTCCAGACTTCTGCCTGACCTTTCTTTACCACCACTCCAGTGGACACAGCTATACCATCAGCACACACGCTCCCACAATGTTATTTGTTTAGCTTCTCAATTCACTTCACCAACTGAAGGTTCAAAAGTAAAATAGATCCCGAGCGTCTCTGTCCCATCCCACTCAGCCCTGAGCCCCTTTGGGCTCATCATTGGAAGAAATCATTTCTGGCTTTTGGGGGCTTGGCCCCCGAGCGTCCCACCTCTGTCCCACGCAGCTGAATATCAGCTGAAGAGAGGGCATGCAAGAGAACCTCAGACGAGTATCTCATCCCCACTGGGAATGGGGAGGGAACTCAGATGCTGAGTAACATTTCAGGGAGGAAAAGCAAGTGGCCCTGGTTGGCCCTGGTTGGCCCAGGAGGAAAAATGAAAATCTAGAATATTTTTGGTCCCCGGAATGGGGCCAAAGGATCCCCAACTTCCTGGCTTTTCTTATACTCCTCCACACTAAGCACTGCTTGGACCCACTTCGGAGGTTTAAGAGAATTGTAAAATTCAGGAGCACGGCATTTATGACGTCACAGTGAGTTGTCATGAGGAAATGGTAAACGTCATATTAAGTTATATACAGTAGGAGTTTTGTGTGGGGGTGCCCTGCCTCTCCTCACTTTTTTTCTTTTTCCCCTGGCCTAAGTTCTCTCCCTTGAAAATAAAATGTTATTACGTTCTGGAACCATAAGCCAACAATGAAACATCGTCCTCATTTCCCTATAAATAATTTTATCCTTTACTGTTTGCGGATCTGAGAGAACCATTTAATCTGCACTGGCGAAAAGAGAGAGAGAGACGGGGAGGGGGGAATTAATTTCAGAAACGAGAATATTACTTAACTTCGATGATACTCTTTTAGATTTGATAGCCAGGAGCAAAATTAGAGGCGAACAGCAGCCTCTCCGACTCTACACCTGGCGGGATTGGAGATTTATAGGATCTTTAGCGAAGGGGCAATTTAATTTTGTAGGATTTGCTTAAATTCACTGCTATTTTGGGGGGCTGAGGAGAAGGGAGGGTGAGGGGAGAACGACATGCTTTATCTAGTTTTATGAATCTGCCAACATTACCCTGATTTAAAACCCAACAACCTGTGTCTCAGGGAAAACTCCTGCAGAAAGGAGTGGAGGAGTGGGGTGAGGGGGACTCAGCTTTCTCAATGACTGTGGCCCCCTTAACCAAGCAGTTGCCAGGGGGAAGGAAGAAAAGCCCGAGGCAAGGGGAGGGCGGCTCTAAGTCTCTCTACCACCAGGACACCCGGAGGTTTATGGTGTCCCCATAATTCCCCCAACCCTATAAACAGCTGCCCTATTTTAGGACGAGTTCTGCTTTCCTGGGAGAGGAAGAGTGAGGGAGGAGGTAATGGCGGGAGCAGGGTGCCGGAAAGGGGAGGGAGCACAGGGAGCACAGGATAGCGCCGCACTTTGTTCTCCTGGGTGAGTTTGCTGGTTTGGCGGGTTTCTGACGCAGGGTGGCAGTAGACAAAACAAGTAAACAACTCACAGACACAATAAACAGGGGCGGCCGCAGCCACCGTGGCAGAGGCCGTGGGCCGGGTGAGGGGCACAATTTGGGGGTAGTGTCACCCCAGCACCCAGGCATGGCCGAGGGCCAAAAGCCCGAGGCTGCCCCCAGTGCGGGCAGGAGAAGCTGGAAGAAAGCTGCACGACTCCGCACCCGCAGCAGCGTGTCTGGACAGGAAAGTCTTGGGAGGAACCTGATTGCCTAGGGAGTGGAGGAAAACCCCACTACCCCCTTTCCTGGCCTTACTCTCTTTCAGGAGTGGTTCACGACATTCATATTCTCCCCTGCTCTGTCTTCTCCTGGCCCCGGCAGGGAGAAAGGCTAGGAAGGGAGGCTGGGAATTCCCAGCCGCGGCGCACATTCAGTGCTCCAGGCCCACAGGCAGCTAGACCCAGCTTCTCCGGCGCTGCCCTGTCAGCCTTCTCCCCAGCTTCTTCGGTAGCAGAGACAGAATTAAAACGAAGTCCCACCAGTAACCAAATCTAGGTATTTGGCAAGCTTAGAGAGCCCCTAATCTGCCCCACAGAGGACACAGGCAAATCTGGGGTCCGGTGAGCAGGGGCGGGAGTGGGGATAGATGTTCACTGTACCCCTACGCATTCCGTCTGGCCTTCTCCACCAGCCTCTTCCAACAGCTGCCTCAGACCACTGCTCAGAGGCCACCTTATTAACCACTCAGATCTCCTTCACTGTCCCAGCAAGGCTGCAAGCACCAGGGCCTAGCCAACTGCTCAGAACCGCTCCAAGGGTCTACCTTACCCACAAAAAGAGTTTCCCACAAAACTCACTTTCAACACCACAGTGTTCCTCTGGCAAACAGCCTCTGAGTTGAGGAAGTCTGGGGGGAGGTGTGGAGAGAAAGCAGAAGGGATTCAATATTTCCCCAGCCCAGCTGCTTGGACAGTGAAGGCAATAAGGTCTGAGAAAGCCTTTGTGGCATCCGTCGGTTACTGGAACCCGCATACTCCGATTCCAGCACGCACACATTTCCAGGACAGCATGCACAGAGGGCCTTCTTGGTGCACCCCATGCCTCCTTGAGCCCAATCCCATCTAACAAAATTTTGCATGCACATAAAAAGGTGTTTGAGCGAATACAAGCATGGTAATATACAATTAACCACCGAGGAAATATGAGTCTGTATATATTCATGCATAAGTCGGAGTCTGTACATTTGAGCCCGTCTATAATAAGTGTATAAAGCTACCAAGCCTGGTTTCGGAACACAACAGCCAACCCAACAAGGCTGCCTTCTCCAAACAAGCTCGCATTCTTCCTAGGAATCACAACTGTAGACCAGGGAGAGAAAGGGTTTGCTCTGCCCATTTCTCCTTAGCTAGGAACTGGCGCATAGAATACAGTGCGTGGCAGGGCTGACAAAGCCCGTAAGGGGCAGGCCTGAGGTGCCCAAAGAGTGGACTCAGAGGGGAACCCTGGGCTCCAAGGAATATTGCCAGAACCTGACCCACAGATTCAGTGCCTCTGCCCAGACTTAGTCCTGGGCGTGCAGAGTCCTCGGGCCAGATTCTATTCTCAGCCGCTCTGGCTATTATTAGATATACACACCAGTGCTTTCCTGCACTAAGGACCACATTTACAGGGAATCTGGCCTACAAGGAGGCCGAGGGTTGTCACTGGTGGCCCCTCTTGTTGCGTCTGTTTGCGCACCAGAGTGGGAGAGGAAGAAGGGAAAGAAAATCGAAAGTAAGGAGAGAAGGAAGGGGCTGGCGTTTGGGGCTGGATTTATCCCCTGGCCAGACTAGAAAACTGGAAAACCAGGGTCAGTCACTGCTGTTATTCTTTCTCTGCATCCCTCTTGCCTCATGAGGAGGATCTAGGGGGTGAAGGACGTGGGGGCCTGCAGGACCCTAGCCAGGAAGGGACAGAAAATCAATTGATAAAAATATTATATAAGGACACCTCAGGATGGTGCCATTAACCCGTCACCCATGAACCCTAGCACCCTGAAATCTCGCCGGCAGCACATCTGTTCAGATCCCTGTAGGCTGAGATAAATACCCCAGCCTTACCCAGGCCCACCCCTCCGAAGGGAGGGGGACCCCTCTAATATCCCAGGTGAATCCCCACTCTCCTGAGTGGCCTTCACCGAAAGCTGTTTCTTGGGGGGGTGAACAAAGGAGACTTGTGCCCCCCCTCTAGTCAGTGCGGCCATCTGCAGGGGCGGGGGGGGGTAGGCAGACAACGGGGGCAGACAAAATACAGGCGAAAGAGAGAAATAGAGGCCTCACCGGTCGGCGGTTCCCACATTACGCCAGGAGAAAGGCTCCCATTTTCAGGCCTCCGGGGGCCCCTCCACTGGCCCACTGCACTCCCCTTGCCCTTCTCAGGTCCCACAGCCTCGGGGTCTCGGTGGCCGCGGCATGGCTACCCGGGGCGTCAGGCCCTGGGCCGCACTGGAGCGGCGGGAGAGCGCGCGGCAGCCTGAGCAGGCGGCGGGCTGGGCCCATTTGGGGAGAGCCAAGCGCTTTTCTCGATCGTAAACAAGGAACGCGAAATTAGCCCCTCGGCAGACGCCTCTGCCGACACACAAGTCCTATTGGGGGGGGGGGAGTGGAAGGGGGAGAGAAAATGCCATTTCTTCCCCCGGGACAATACCTCAGAGGCCTTTATGTCGGATATGAAACGGGAATTTTGGGGGGGCAGGAGAGGAAGGGAAGGGGATTGTGGGGGGGAGGGGACAGAAGATTCACCATCAACTCGGACCCAAGGGGTTTGATTTGAATGCAGCCGAATTATGTTTTTAAGAATTTGATAAAAACAGGTTCTCCCTCCCAACCTCCTCCCCCCCGCCCACCCCCAGGCGACGGGTCAAGGTTTAAACAGGAAAT